AATGATAACAAGATGGTTTGTAATACACTCCTAAGAAGGACTGCCATATTTTTTGTTTTTGAAACACCAGTAAACATAGTGATACAAGCTTGGTTAATTGAAATAGAATAAAAAGATTAAAATAAAATAAATGAGTGATGCTTAACAGTTAGCTGAGCAGGTCAAACAATATCCTGACAACATAGTGCATCCTATATCTGTATGAAGCATTTAGTCTAGTCTTTGGTTTGCTCATCCAATCTAGGGCAAGTGAAACGGAGGCAGCGTCATGTTTGTTCAAAGGAGCTATACATCGCATAACTGGTACAGGGCACTAAAGTGTCCTGCCCTTTTGATAAACTAGCAAACAGTGCAAGATTTGTCTAACATGTCAGGTGGCATTTATGGGAGTCGATATCGATTGTATAAAGCTAGGTCCTAGACATGCTGCTCTAAACGACAATATAGGTTATGAAACATGCTTTCGGTTACAGCTCATATTGAGTTATAGTAAACTAGCAGGGCCAACAAAGCTGCCTGGGCTATGGGAATGGTCGTATGGCTAATATTGGTCCCACATGTTAAAGTTAAGGTAGGCTGCCTTTCTATTTATTGCAACATGCCAATGGAATACAGTACAGTTATAGCGTTGGCTGCAATAAAGGTAACGATTAAAAGGTAGCAATTTAAAACATAGCACGTCATCTGGCACAGGTAAGACATAAAGAGATAATGAAGGTGTGGGGAGAGAATTAAACAGTACTGTGTGTCCGTAAATCAGTCCCGCTCAGCCCATGCTGGTTCGCGGCAAGTTGTCAACGGGAGTGGAAAGGCAGGTGTTGTCAGAGCAGCCATTGCTAGGCGAGGACCCCCTCCAGCCCCAGGCCCACTTTGAGGGTGGCATCGTCTGACCACTGGCTCGATGGCTCTGTGAGTTCAAGGCATTCCCATATTGGGTGCAGGTGGAGCCGGTTTCCTGTCGCCGCCAGTGGCGGGCATTCCTCCTGCAGGGTGGTCGATGTTGTGGAGGCAGCTTCCTCCTGGCACCCAGCCTGGGCGGGCTGCTTGCTTGCGCGGTTGTCTTGGGGGTAGTTGCTGTGCCCAGAGTGGGGCGCCTCTTCCCTGCGTTCCCCGCTCCAGTCTTGCGGCCTGGCTGCCCTTGCGGTGGTGCCGTTCTCCGCACTCCGTGGGTTCGGTTCAGTCCGCTCGCAGCTGGCTGGGGTTGCTTGTTTGCCATTGGTGCTTGTAGCCTTTGTCCCAGCCTGTACCAGAATCGGGCAAAAGCTGCATCTATGCGCTGTTGGATATCGCTGTGATCCTCCATCTCAGGTAAGTGTTTTGGTTCGTGTGGTATGCTTGCCGCTGCCATTTTGGGTAAGCCATGTGTTTGGCTGCCCTGGTGTCGCAGGTCATTGATTGCTTGTGGTTGCTATTCCAGTCGCTTGGTTTGGACCGAGATGTCCCTTATCGGTCCAGAGGGGGGGTAGGAGATAACCCTCTCAAGGGATCCTTGTCCAGGTCTGCCTGATCTCCGGTAGGCCTTAGGGCGTTTTGTTGGGTCTCCGGGGGATTACAGGCTTGAGTTCGGTATCGGGTGATACCCCAGGGTGTCCCCTTCATGCTAGTATCTGTCCAGTGTGCGATTGTGCCGGTTTTTGGGGGGATTATCCCCGAAAAGTGCAGAGTGTAGCGGGAGCTGAGGTTCAGCACAACCGCTCTGTCTGGATGCTAGGCTCCGCCCCCCTATTTTTAATATTTATTATCTCCAAAGTCCATTCATTTCCAATGTTTACTTATTATCCATTATGGATTTATCATTCATATGATCGCATGTTCTATTTTTGACAGATGCACACTGTTACTATTATTTTAGGTCACTTGCAACAAAAGAGTTAATAGTTGTTTATATTATACATACACTGTAATTAAAGTTGATTGTTTTTGCACTTAGCAATTTTAACACTAGCATATATATAAGCAGCTGTATACAACTAGAATTAGAAGCCTCTGACGAAGTAGGGCTACCCTACGAAACGTGTAAGGCAACCCGTATGGCGAGGACTGATAGGAGGAACAGCAAGTGGAAATCTGGTCACGAGCACTCCTGCTGATCAATCCGGACCCGGCATCTGTATCTTCTTGTGAAACTGCAGCTCACCCTCGATGTGAGGTCGGAGGTGAAGCAGACAGTAACTCAAACGCCATCCCCACAGGCTACCAGGATACAGAAGAGGATAACTACAAAGACAATCCATTTCCATCCGGGTCTGGACTGCAGGTTTTATCGTTATTTTTACATGGTTTCTAATAGACTACCTACCTACCTACCTCAGTTTTTTATCATTATTCTTACTTGGTTTCTAATAAACTACATACCTACCTCAGTGGACTGCAGGTTTTATCGTTATTTTTACTTGGTTTCTAATAGACTACCTACCTACCTCAGTTTCTTATCGTTATTCTTACTTGTTTTCTAATAGACTACCTACCTACCTCAGTTTCTTATCGTTATTTTTTATATTTGAATGTATTTTTAGTACCATAAATTCACTGTTTTATCAATCAACACCTTTTTTTTCAAGTGACTACTCTTCAAAGAACTGTGATAATATCACTAATTCAAACTTTCAAGCTTTTGAGCAATTAGTTCCTTGTACTTATTTGCTCTGATTTATATACCTGGACTATTACTTCATCTTTTATCCATAAAAGTATATTAAGTCATAAGTACTATTAACCCTGCGTTATTCTCGCAAGCAGGGTCTAGGTTACTTATGCTATAAATACCGTCCTTATGATCTAATACGCTATGTGGATTCCAATGTAATCTTCAACAATTTGGGACTATCAGTTGAATTCTGGACTCTTTTATTGGACTGAATATTTATTAAGCTCAATACCATTGATTTATTTAAGTGATTTATTTAAGTGATTTCCTGTCTTTTATTCCACCACTAATTTCTTTGTTTAAGGTTACACCTATCTCTACATACATATATATCTACTTCCACTGATTTAGCTCCTGGATACTTACACTCTATGGAGCATTCTTTCAACTATTTTTATGAAATCCTTTTTTCCAGTTTCAGAGCTAATAGATTTATTGTTCTTATTCCCTCTAAACCTTCTGCTGTATTCACTTTTGTGGATACCGGAACTCTGTACTTTCTTTAAATAATAGAACTTCTTTTTTTTTAAAATATAATCCCATATGTGAATTGCTTCCCCATACCAGTACCCAATCTCTCAAAGCTGCACACCATTGGTGATAGATAATATTGCAGAATCACATCTCTAAGGATATATCACTTGAGCGTCGCATTATTTTAACTGTGGTTACTATAGGAGTAACTGAGTTTAGCGATACGCATTTTTTGTTTACATAACTGTCTTGCAGATATATACAGTTGCAAGAAAAGGTATGTGAACCCGTTGGAATGATATGGATTTCTGCACAAATTAGTCATAAAATGTGATCTGATCATCATCTAAGTGACAACAATAGACAATCACAGTCTGCTTAAAGGACCACTATAGTGCCAGGAAAACATACTCGTTTTCCGGGCACTATAGTGCCCTGAGGGTGCCCCCACCCTCAGGGTCCCACTCCCGCTAGCCTGGATGGCAAGGAAAGGGGTTAAACTTACCTTTTTTCCACCAGCGCTGGGCGGGGAGCTCTCCTCCTCCTCTCCGCCTCCGATCCTCCTCTTCGGCTGAATGCACATGCGCGGCAGGAGCTGCGCACGCATTCAGCCAGTCTCATAGGAAAGCATTCATAATGCTTTCCTATGGACGCTGGCGTCTGCTCACTGTGATTTTCACAGTGAGAAGCATGCAAACGCCTCTAGCGGCTGTCAATGAGACAGCCACTAGAGGTTTCTCTGAAACTGCTATGTTTATAAAAAAAAGGGTTAATCATAGAGGGACCTGGCACCCAGACAACTTCATTAAGCTGAAGTGGTCTGGGTGCCTAGAGTGGTCCTTTAAACTAATAACACACAAAGAATGAAATGTTGCCATGTTTTCACTGAACACACCATGTAAACATTCACAGTGCAGGTGGGAAAAGTATGTGAACCCTTGGATTTAATAACTGGTTGAACCTCCTTTGGCAGCAATAACTTCAACCAAGTGTTTCCTGTAGTTGCAGATCAGACGTGCACAACGGTCAGGAGTAATTCTTGACCATTCCTCTTTACAGTACTGTTTCAGTTCAGCAATATTCTTGGGATGTCTGGTGTGAATCGTTTTCTTGAGGTCCTGCCACATCATCTCAATTGTAAAGGACTCTGACTGGGCCACTTCAGAAAGCGTATTTTCTTCTGTTTAAGCTGTTCTGTTGTTGATTTACTTCTGTGCTTTGGGTCATTGTCCTGTTGCAACACCCATCTTCTGTTGAGCGTCAGCTGGTAGACAGATGGCCTTAAGTTCTCCTGCAAAATGTCTTGATAAACTTGGGAATTCATTTTTCCTTCGATGATAGCAATCCGTTCAGGCCCTGACGCAGCAAAGCAGCCCCAAACCATGATGCCCCCAGCACCATACTTCACAGTTGGGATGAGGTTTTGATGTTGGTGTGCTGTGTCTTTTTTCACCACACATAGTGTTGTGTGTTTCTTCCAAACAACTCAACTTTGGTTTCATCTGTCCACAGAATATTTTGCCAGTACTGCTGTGGAACATCCAGGTGCTCTTGTGCAAACTGTAAACATTGAGGTAGGAGTGTTTGCAGTAGTGTTTGCAGTAGTCTCCGCAGTGTGTGTGGGAGCTCTGTCTCCGGTATTTCCTCTCTGACGCCTTGGATTTTGATGTTCTGGCTGCGAGTCCGGTCCTCTAATATTGCTATGCGCTGCTCATAGGTAGAGTGCTGTAGTTTAAGCTCTTGGACCGTTTGCCATAGGAGTTGCGTTTGTTGCTTGGTGCTGGGAATCTGCCTCTGGGGTGCCCAGGCGGCCCGTTAGGCCCTGTAGGTCCTTGCGCAGTTGGGCCATGTTGGCCTGTATTGTTAAGCTGAGCTCTGCTAGGAGGTCTTTCATGACCGTGACGGTCACTGGTGAGGAGTGGTATTTCCGAATGTGGGGGCTCCATCTCCACCTCTGTGGTGAAGTCGTCAGAGACTTCTGAGCCATAGTCGGTGTAGGCGGCCATGTTTGGGCACTAAGTTCTTGCTTCCACATGTCACCGATGCTGTGGTGTTGCCGCTTGTTTTCGCGTTTGGGCTTTTTAGTTTTGCAGCCCATATCATTGACGGCAGTTCGCAGGGTCAGTTTGGTGCCGGTTTCGGTGGGATGGGTTTTTGTTAGTGGGTCCAAAGTGCTTGTTTGCTGCGGAGCTCGCATGGCGTGCAGCCATTCTGGTCGGTTGCTTGGCTCCACTCAGATTTTTTTTTAACTAATAACTGTACTCATTTTATTAAGGAAGATAAGTTGACCCATTCAAGAATAAAACCTAGAAACCTGAGGTTTGAATAGACGATAAATATTTGTCAGCTGGGTCACTAACCATTGACATATCTTATCAATGCATTAATAATTGAGTAATAATCTCCTTTTTGGATATACGGTTATAATGTTTGCACAATTAAGTGCTACACTATTATTTAACACAAATGGGTTAGGCAGTGGCTGAGTGACAGGCAACAGAGGTTTTAGTCAATAGAGTATATTCAAAGCAAAGTCTTGTTACTGGTGGGGTATCTCAGGGATTTACACTTGGACCCATTCACTGTAATGTTTTTATTAGTAATATTGCAGAAGGTCTTGATGGTAAGGGATGTCTTTTTGCTGATGATACAATTTGCAACAAGGTTGATATTCCAGGAGGGATAAGTCAAATGGCAAATAATTTAGGTAAAATAGACAAGCTCTGGTCAGAGCTGTGGCAACTAGCAATTAATGTGGATAAGTGCAAGATAATGCATCTTGGATGTAAAAACCCAAGGGCAGAGTACAGAATATTTGATACAGTACTAACCTTAACATCTGCTACATTGTCTGCCTAACTTAAAGATAGGCAGACAATGTAATAGAGCAGCAGGAAATTCTAGCAGAATGTTTGGTTGTATAGGGAGAGGTACTAGCCGTAGAAAGAGGGAAGTGTTAATGCCATTGTACAGAGCACTGGTGAGACCTCACTTGGAGTATTGTACGCAGTAATAGAGTAATATCTTCAGAAGGATATTGATACTTTGAAAAGAATTCAGAGAACGGCTACTAAACTGGTTCATGG